GGGGGGGGGAAGGGGCGGGAGGTTTAAGAGAGAAAGAGAGGGGTCAAGGAGCACTGCGGTTTCTGGTCTGAACCACCGGGGGGACGGGATGCCATTTACTAAAAGGTGGGAAGGCTGGTGGTCCGGTATAGACGGAGCACTGGGGCTTGGACGAGGAGAGTCTGAGGCGTCCAAGTAGGCCACTGCGCCCCGGGCACCCAGCGCAGTGCGCGCGCGGCACAGAACGGACTGCGGCAAGGGCGGGGGGGACGGGTGGCTGCGCCCCGCACACCCCGCCTGCATCTCCCACGTGGCCTCGGCAGCTGAGGCTCCCGCCGCAGGTCCCCGGGCCCGGGCCCTCCCTGCGCCCATCAGGAATGTACCCCGCTCCCTGGCCAAGCCCCGGCTCCCAGAACAGGGCACAGAAACGCCAGGCTCTGAAGCCGCACCACCCCCCCCCCCCCGGCCCAGCCCCTCACGGTAGTGCTGGAGGCGCCCCTCTTCACCCCCCCCCCAAACCGGAACGGCTGCATCCCGGCGGAAACCTGGCCCGTCACCATGGCAACCACTGCGGAGCCACAGCCTGGACGCGGCCCGGGTACCGGAAGCCTGACCGCCCAAAGCGAGCGGGCGGGCGGGCGGGCGGGCGGGCCGGGGGAGGCGCCCGCAGAACTCTCCCCCTGCGCGGTCTCGCGGCTCACGGAGCAAAGAGCCGGGTGTGCACAAAGCGCAGGGTGCTCCGGGAAGCCCTCGCCTCCACCGGCCCCTCCTCCAAAACGATTTCTCCGGGTCCGCCCCCCCCCCCCGGGGCCCAAAGGCGCACATAGGGGTCCGGGACTTGGGCCTGTCCTCCCGCGGAACCTCTTCTCCCTTCCCCCCCCCCCCGCTCCGGCCGGCCCCCGTTCCGCCGCCCCCCCCCCCCCCCGCGCGCGCCGTGGGGCGCACGGGCGACTCGTGCCCTTTGTGCCCAGAGCTACGATGGTCACATCACCAACTGGGGCTTGGGGGGCGAGCGGGGGCCACCGGCCGGCCGCCAAGCCGTAAAGGCCCCGACGCGTCCAGGGTCGTGCGCGCCCCCCACCCCCACCCCGGCCGGGTCCGCCCCGCCTCCCGGAAGCCCACGGAGAAGGCCACGCCCCCCGCACTCCCGGCAGCCTCGGCACCGCCTCCCGGAAGCCCACGGAGAAGGCCACGCCCCCCGCACTCCCGGCAGCCTCGCGCGGCGGCGCCACTCACGCTCTGGTCGTCGTCCTCGCTGCGCACGTGGTCCGCGATGAAGCGCACGCCGTCCACCGCCGCGCGGAGCCCGCAGCCCTGCGCCGGGCCCGCCGGCTCCCCGGGGGCTTCTCGGAAGAGGAGGGCGCCCGCCTCGCGCTCGCGCTGGCGCCGCCGCAGGCGCAGGCGCTGGCGGGCGCAGCGGTGGCGCGGCTGCTGCATGAAGAGCAGCGCGGGCAGCTTCTCCAGGAACACGACCTTGACCCAGGGCGCCATGGTGTGCGTGGTGGGCGAGCGGTGGTGCACGTTGAGCACGCACACGCTGGTGACGATGGAGAAGGTGACCAGCACCATGGTGAACATGAGGTACTTGCCCACCAGCGGCACGTCCAGCGAGGTGGGCGGCACGATCTTGGAGATGAGCAGCAGGAAGACGGTGAGCGCCAGCAGCACGGAGATGCACAGCGTCATCTTCTCGCCGCAGTCGGACGGCAGGTAGAAGACGAGGATGGCCAGCGAGGTGATGAGCACGCAGGGGATGATGAGGTTGATGGTGTAGAAGAGGGGCTTGCGCCGGATGATGAAGTCGTACGTGATGTCCACGTACGTGGAGTCGTCCGGGTTCTCGTTGCGCCGGCCCGGCAGCGCCACGATGTCCCACTCGCCACTGGGCGTGAAGTCGTCCAGGCTGGCCACGTCACTCTTGAGCACCAAGTCGATCTCCGTGCGGTCGTAGGTCCACGAGCGGAACTTCATGGTGCAGTTCTGCTGGTCGAAGGGGAAGTGCTTCACCTCGATCTTGCAGGCGCTCTTGTAGATGGCGGGCGGCAGCCAAAAGATGCTGCCGTCGTAGGAGACCACGGCGTTGGAATAGAAGGACACCTCGTACATGCCGTCGGCGCTGCCAGAGGACGCGCACAGTGAGCCCCGGCTCCAGCGTGCCCGCACCCTGCCCGTCAGCCCAGCGCCGAGTGCGAGGGAGACTCGGGGTGGGCAACCCAGGTGTGAGGGTAACGGGCCAGGAGCGTACAGAGGCGCGGCAGGGAGTGAGCAAGAAAGGGGATGGGTGAGTTGGTGGTCGGGAGGCCTGTGAGGCCTCTGGGAGGCAGAAGCGGGTGGATGGGGGGGGCCGTCTGCTACTTGTCGCGCATGGCGCAAACCGGGTGCTCCACACGAGGGTGGAGAGCAAGGAGCCCCAAGCAATGAGGGGGACAGAGGCAGGTGAGAGCGGGGCATGGACCCGCTAGTGATGTGGGACCTTGAAGGTCAGCGGGGTTGTCGCAGGAAAGGGGACAGAACCCGGGGAGAAACTGGGACCGCCAGGCCCTTTGATCCTGAACGGTGCTCCAGGGAAGCGTATTCCGGGATCAGCGAAGGCGCTGCAGCTGCCAGCCCTCGTTCGTATCCCGCTGCGGCTCCAAACGCCAGGGGCTCCTGTTTGGCTGGGAGGGGACCGGCCACGGCCCAGATCACCTCGGGGTCGTCGGGGTACTTCACACCACCCCGCCGTGGTCTGGGCCTGTTTGCGTAGTGACTGTGTCTGTGCCAGTGAGAGGTCCCCTCTCTTCCCAGCATGAGCTGATGGACTTTCCCCAAGACCCCTTCCCTCCCAGAGCACTCTGGTCATCTCCACCCGCCTTCCCGTTGCTCCCAGGCCACCTACTTGTTGTATAGGACCACATCCGGCAGCCAGATGTGCTTGGAAGGGAGCCGAACCTTCTTCATGTTGTCGAACTCCTCAGGCTTCCAGGTGAGGCGGTAATCTTCCCATTCCTGGGAAAGGGGGAGAGAGCATTGCCAGCCTTGACCTTGGTGGGGCTCAAGGTCAAGGACAGAGACTGGGAGGATGGGGCATCTGGCTTGAGGAGGCTTTTAAAAGCCACTCCCTCCTGACAGTGACTCCTCTGCCCAGCCAATGTGGCTCAGAAAATACGTCCTCGTGTAATTTGCACATCTAAGCCAAGATATTAGAATCTACATTTTACAAATAAAATGGATCTCGCAGATCTTAACATGTTCAAAGTCACAGAGCCGGTCAGTGGAAGAACCAAGATTCAGATCAGTTATTTAGGAATCCAAAGTCTATACCGTTCCGCCTTTCTTGAGGAGATTAAAAGAGGAAAAAGCACATACAAAAAAAAGGTGGTGGGGGGGGAGCGGGTAGGAGGAAAGAGGAGACCGGGGATGTGGGCCGGGCAGGAAGAGCACTAACCTGGGTCAGCCAGACATTGGTGGTCATGATCTGTTCCCGCTCATGCTGCAGAGAAGAGAAGTTGCTGAGAAGGACCCCCAGCTGCTGAGAAGGGCCCCCAGCAGGCAGGCTCACTACAAGCACCCACGTCCTTCCCATACCTCCCCAAGCCTTGGGAACTCCAGTGGAATAAGCACAAACATGAGCACAATCTTGGCTCTTCAGATGTCAGTGGCTGGGCGGAGAGTTTGGGACCCGTACTCACCACACTAATGAGCTGGGCCAGCGACACCATGAGCTGAACGGTCACCAGCTCAGAGCCATTGGTGGCTGGGCGAATGAGCTTGTTGTACCGGGAAGGATCTAGGAGGTGCTCCACTAGCCGCTCCTCCGTGTCAGTACCCCAGACGCCTGGGCAGGGGAGTGGGGGGCAGGAAGGAAGGAAGTGGGCAAGGGGGGCCCACCTAGCACCCCGCTCTCCCTAGCCAAGTGGGCCAGCCAGGCTGAAACAGCAGCGTCCCGCTGCTCCATCCCTAAGGATACAGCAAAATGCCTAGGTCAGCCCGTGGGGGCCCCTCATGGCGAAGCCGTTCTCTGAGATCACTGACCAGGGAGACTGGGGAGCCCCACACAGATGTCTCCAGACTAGGAACCCATTCCGCAAGGATTGTGGAGACCTACTCTTCCTGCAAGGTCTCAGACAGTGGTCTCAAAAGACTGGAGATTTCATGTTTTCATGGCTTCTCCTGAAAGATCCCTGTAGTTCGAGGAGAGTTTGGGATGGTGATGAAAGGGAACGGCTATTTATATCACGCCACACGACCTTTCTCCTCAGTCAGTGCCCATCTGTGTGTACAAGTAACATTATGTGCCTCCCATGTGACTTTGGCTGTGACCCCACCCCACCCCCACCTTCAAAGGCACTGCTGGGTTGGAGAGGATAGCTGGGCTGGGCTGCCTGTGCTGTAGGTCGGACCATGTGTTCAGTCCCAAATTCCACACGCACGGGAGCCCACCTCCCATGGCATGCAGGTGTGGAAAACATTTAGTTGTGTAACCCCTTCACACCTGCCCCTCCTGCCCCTCCACATACTCTCTTGCAACTCTGCACCCATGTGCCCCACCCCCTCGAGCTCCTTCCTGGCCCTCAGCCTGGCCCAGCGACTTCCCTCCCAAGTCTTCTGTTCAACCCCACAAGAGAGTTGAGAAGTCACTTCTCGCCCCTTCCTGCCTTGCCCCTGCGGAGTGGCCAGACTCAGGAGCCCGACGTGGGGTACGGGAAACGCTGGAGAGCTAAGGGAGGGTGCCGATCCAGCTAGAGTACTTGTGAAAACGTTTCACGAGAAGCCAGGTGGCACCTCAACGGCAGCGTGTGCCCTCCTGACACCCCAGAAATCGCGGGGAGACCCCCCTCCCTCCTTCCTCTCTGGGCCCACGCCCTCCCCACCACCGTGGCCCGCATCTCTTTCGCTTCCTTGCATCGCTTACTCCTTCGGGGACATCCTCCTCCCGTTCAGGCGCCCCCCCCCCCTCGTGGACGCCCCCAGCTCTGGGGGTCCCCCTCCCACCCCGGAGCCCGGGAGCCCGGGGCGGTCCTCACCTGCGCGCAGCCCGAGGAGGCCGCAGCCGAGCAGCAGCGCGGCGGGGCCGGAGCGCAGGGCCATGCCGCGGGCGGGGCGCTGTCCGCGGTGCTGAAGCCGCGCGGGCCGGGGCGGCCGGGCTGCGGGAGGGGGCCGGCGGGCGGAGGCTGTTCGGGCCGCTCTCCCCGGGAAGGCGACTGGGACGGAGAGGGGAGGAGTCTCCGCCCCGGAGGCGGAAGCGCCGGAGCCCAGAAAGAAAGGGGGTCCCCAGGTGGGACGTGCTTCTGCCCAGGCCGCGTGTGCGCGGGGCGGAAGCGGGCGGCCCTCTGCCCCCAGCAGCTCTGGAGCCGCTCGGCACCCGGGCACCCAGCGCCGGAACGAGGGGGCGGGATTCGGGAGGAGCTCTTGGCGTTGCCGCCCTCCTTGTTCGCTCTCACCAATGCAAACGGTCCTGCCTCTCTGGAAGGACGAGGATGCCGCCGAGCAAAGGCATTTCAGGTCCTCAAAGAGACAGGGCACTCTGGGCTTGCCGTTTTAAAAAAGCGAGTGTGGAAACCGAACCCCCCCCCCCACACACACACCTGTCCCGTTCTCCGCCTCCATAAGCTCCCTCAGAGGCCAACCTCCTGCCCTCCCCCAGGGGGCCTCAGGTGGGGACGCCTAGACCTGGCCCGCAGAGAAGGCAACTTTCAAGAGCGGCCCTCATCAGCCCTGCCCATTCCCCTCCAGTCCAGTCTTCGGCCTCTGTGTCACAAAGGGGATCCGAGGACCACACCACACAGGCCAGCCGGAGGAGAGCAACCGTGAGACAGAGAGGGTTCACAACTCAGTGACATCTTTGATAGGAAGAGCCCGGAACGTTTAGTTTCTGAGCCAATAAAGGCTTCCCTTTTTCCTTAGGTGGATTTTTGTCACTGATGACTAAAACTTTCCTGACTAAAGCAGCCTTACCACATATGCAGGCTCCGTCTTACTCCGTCTGTGCCTACTTCTTCAGCCTCATCCAGCCCACTATATACGGCCCCCCACTCCAACTACGGGTGCGCTCTTGAAGATCGTGAACATTCTCCACCCCACCCCCACCCCATCCTTCACACTTCAGGGCCTTTTAAACAGGGAGTTCCCTTGGCCCTTTTATCAACCACCTTCTCTTTATTTGAACACTTGACAGAAATGTCAGTTCCTCAAGGAAGGAGTATTTGACCGAGGACTAAGCCCAGCGCCCTGCTCTATGTTTGCAGAGGATGTCCATCCAATGAACGAATCGGTCTAAGGCAGTGGCGGTCTCCACTGCTGAATCACGAACCAGCACAGCGCCCCGCTTCTCATGAGGGCTTGACAAATAGGAAAAGGGCTAGTGCAGGACCAACAGCTTCCAGTGTGTAGGGGAAATCCCTTTTTAAAAGTTCAGCTAAGGGGCGCCTGGGCGGCTCAGTAGGTTAAGGGTCCGACTCCAGCTCAGGTCATGATATCACAGCTCGTGAGTTCGAGCCCTGCATCGGGCTCTGTGCCGACAGCCTGGAGCCTGCGTCAGATTCTGTGTCTCCCTCTCTCTGCCCTTCCCCTGCTCAGGCGCGCGCTCTCTCAGAAATAAACATTAAAAAAAATCTTTTTTTGAAAAAAGTGAAAGTTCAGCTAAAAGCAACTTATTTGACACGTCCTCAGTCCTGATACTGAAGAGCAAAAATAAGACAAGGACCAGAAAAAGAGTGGGTGGCCACAGGCCCTCTGATGCACGTGGGAGTGGGCACATGCAGACATAAACATGTAATGATCTACTAAGAATTAAAAAAAATCTTAGAAGCAAGGAAAGAGTGGAGAATAAAAGCCTTAAGGAAAAGAAACGTGTGCAGTCACTCCTTTTGGTGAAAGGGTCAAAGGTCGGAAAAAGACCCACTTTCAACAATTTAGATCAACATTTGCTGGGTGTCTACTGTTTCTCAAGGGTTGTGTGCGTCTTGAGACCCAGCTATGAAGGAGGTCCGGTGTGGTGGCCGCTCCAGCAGGGGCAGGGACATGGTGTTCTGGAGGCACAGAGCAGGAAGGTAACGGTGTCTGAACACCTGCAGGAAGTGGAGATAAAACCCAGCACTGAAAGAGGAGAAAGCCAGTAAGCCGGGTTGCCTAAAGGCTCTTCAAAGACCTCAGCAGGAGGCACAGGGAGCCGTACGTGCAGACGTCCTCAGTACTTGCCATGTCTCTGTTGGTGGACACAAGGTGGCTGGGGAAGGCCGTGAGTCTTCGCTTATGAACATCACTCTCTGGAGCGGCTGCCTGTCTCTGTGGTGACAGACTGGCGGGTCTCTGCTTGCTCGAAGCCCTCGGTTGCTCCCTGGCGCTTTTGGACCAGTCCAGGCAGCCTGCTCACCTTGGCCTCTGTCGTCTCTTTTCAGATTCCTCAGCTTTTGCTTCAAGTTTCTGTTTTGTTTTTGAGAGACAGAGGGCGCACGAGTGAGTGACAAGGGCCGAGGGAGAGGCACGGAGAATCCCTAGCAGGTTCCGTGCCATCGGCTTGACCCCACAACCCTGGGATCACGATCTGAGCCAAAATCGAGAGGCAGACATGCAACCGACTGAACCACCCAGGCACCCTGCATTTTTATTTTCTAAGTAAGAGACGGCCTGCTTCACAGCCTCGTGTGCCATCCCTGCCCAGGGCTGTGTTACTCTTCTCTGCGTCACTCCAGTGCTAGTGCACATCCGACAGGAGCAGTACTTCCAGCTCGGCAGGGAGTCCTGAGCACAAGCACCCAGTGGCCGAGGAGAGCCGGAGCGCCCTCCCCCTCGTGTCTCCCTCGCGCACTCCTTCCACGTCCACCAGAGAGCCAGGCATTCGGGGAGAGAGGACAGGTCCAGAAAGCCACGCAGGGCGATGGGCAGACATGCCGGAGTCCGCCCCGAGGCAAAACAGACCAGGCAAGGCTCTGGTGAGACACTCCCATTGCCTGAGGGTAAGGAACGCTTTTCTCTTAGGCGGCACTACAACGGATGCCATTTTCCTTTATTTAGGAGATTTTAAATTTAAAAACTGTTTAAAAACTACCACAGTTATACATATTCATGAAGACCAACTGGAAAACACAAATTAGCAAAACAAAGTGCAACAGAGATTCATAATCCTACCTCCTAGAAAAATAATCATCGTTACCACTTTACATATAAATGTCTAATATATCTGTATATTAAATGTATACAGTATATAATATCTATACAAATATGTACATATCTATATAACAGATATCTGTACAGATATTATAGATCTCTAAATTTATATGTATTTAGATATTAGATACAAAAAATATATAAATTATAAGTATACAGTTACATTTTCGCAACACAAACACACCCATACGATCTCGCCCAGGTAAAACAAAAGAACATTACCAATATCCAGAAGCCCCCCATTATGTCCTCTGCCAGTCATTACTCCCTCCAGGATCTCCACAAGTCACATCATGGGGGGAGGAGAGTGGGGAGTGACTGTCAAAGTTCTAGAACTCGACAGAGATCATGGGCACACAACACCATGAATGTACTGAATGCTGCTGGAATGCACACGGCAAAACGGCTAGAACAGTAACTTCTAGGTTACAGGTGTTTTTCCACAATTCAAACAAATGAAAGAAAAGTAACCCCTATTTTGACTTCTAATAGCACACGTTCACTTTGCCTACTAAACTTTACGTAAATGGAATCGTAATCTTTTGTGCGTTTTTTTGGTTTTGGTTTTTTGTGAGAATCCCGGATGCTGTGAACGCAGTTGTCACTCATTCAGCCCCGTTGCTGCCCTGTGCTCCACCGTGTGACTATGCCACCACGTAGTCATTCCACTGTCACGGAATTCAGGTTGTTTCCGGTTTTGTATTATTAGAGATCAGCCCGGCACTGGGGTGGGTGGCTCCACGTGGATGGCTCAGTTGGTGAAGCATCGGATGCTTGACTTTGGCTCAGGTCATGATCTTGTGGTTCGTGGGTTCGAGCCCCGCATCGGCTCTGTGCTGACAGAGAGCAGCTTGCTTGGGATTCTCTCTCTCTGCCCCTCCCCCACTCGTGCTCACTCTCCAAATAAACTAAAAAAAAATGCAGGCATGAGCATTCTTGTTCACGTTTTTGCTGTACAAAAATAGGCACGTCTGTTGGGGTCATAAGTAAATCACATACGTTACTTGCACTTTTTTAAAAAGGAACACACTGTAAATCTAGACTTGTCCCCTTCCTTTTTCGTTTACTCTTTCTCAAATACCTTGTGGCAACTATTTTTAACAGCTGCACATATTCCATTGCAGGTAAATTTTCGCACATTTCTTTAACAATTTCCAAGTCACATTGCTGCATCAAAAATTTTTAAGTTTGCCGATTAATTATATATGGTAAACTGGCCTCCAGTAGGCTTGAGACTCTCAGGGTTGCCCTGGGGCCCCAGGCCAAAGCTCCAATGGTCAACACCTCTACAGTTGCCTACGCCCCCTCCTCGTCCTCTCCCCTCTTCTCCCTTGCCTTTGTCCTCGACCTCCTTCCAGTTTGGGACCCAGTTCTTTCTGAACGTCTCCTATTCCCCCTAAGGAACTTGCCCTTCACACGCCTTCTTGGGAGTTGATCCTGACTAATGTCACCCTTCAAGGCCCTTACCCTTCTTGAACCCAACCACTGTGTTCATCACACTGCATCACCTGCTGCATCTGCCTCCGGTTTACCCGATACCTCGCGTTCCTCAGGGCGGAGCGAGACATGCCCAAAAACATCGTCAAACGCGTAACAGCCGCCATGGAAGGGGCCTCCCTCGGTGTCAGGACTCACTGCACCCCCCGGTGCCCCTACAGTTCCTGGCAGACACATCTGTCGAGTCTGTGACCGAATGCTATGCTTCTGGGGCTCAAAGCAGAAGCCGTGGGTTCTGCACCAAACAGGTGCGTCTGCTCACGCTGATAACACGAGCCCTTTTGGAGGAAAAACAAAAGTCTCTACAATTCGTTTTTCAAAGAGCAGCCAGAGGGATCAAAATTTTAACATTTTGGGGCGCCTGGGTGGCTCAGTCGGTTAAGCGTCCGACTTCGGCTCAGGTCATGATCTCCCGGTCCGTGAGTTCGAGCCCCGCGTCGGGCTCTGGGCTGATTTCTCAGAGCCTGGAGCCTGCTTCGGATTCTGTGTCTCCCTCTCTCTCTGCCCCTCCCCCGTTCATGCTCTGTCTCTCTCTGTCTCAAAAATAAATAAACGTTAAAAAAAAATTAAAAAAAAATTTTTTTAACATTTTAAGTCAGATCGTGCCCCTCCTAGCTTACAGTCTTCCACGGTTTCCCGCTGCGCCGAGTAAAACCCGAGCACTTCCGGTGGCCTCCACGATGCAGTCCCTGCTTCTGACCCTGGC